ATGGACATGAGTCAAGATTATTTTTAAATTTGAAAGCAGAAGGTTATCTTGTAAGGTAACTTTAAGAGATTTGGATGGCCTTTGACTTACTTTTAACTACATCTGAGGGTGTAAGTCTATATTAGATAGTTCTTCAAGTTATGGTTAAAAAACTTATTGTTGTTCATGAGATGTGGCTTTTGGACATATTTAAATGTTTGTTTTACGATCACTGTTATAAGAATCAGTTAGTTAGTTTACTTAACTAACCAAAGAACTTTGGTATCTGACTGATATAGATACTTTCCATACTGTTTGTTGCGGTTTGTTGATGATGCCTAGTCTGTCTTTTTCTAGAGACTGGGTCAACAACATGTCAAGTGCACAGAGGGAGGGAGAGGAGGATGGCATAGAGAAGGGAAAGAGGTGAGGGAAGAGTAAAGAGGGGACAAGTGAGGAGGTCATACATACATATATGCTGAAGATACTCCCCCTCTTTGTGGTGCTTGGGCTTGTGTATTTTCTTTGTCTGTTTTGATAAGCGAGAGGGCGGCGTTCGATAAGCAAACAATATACAAACAACAAACAACAAAGAGAAGTGGAGAAAGAGGGCGGTGAGAATGCAGAAGAGAATCTGAGAAGTTGCCACTCTCTTGGGCTCTGTTAAGCCGTACATGTCTCTCTATGACATTTCCCGCTCCCGGTTCTCTGTTTTGCTTGCCTTATTCTCGCTTCATTGAGGGACATTGATCCCAATTTCCCACACCCTTTAAACCCTTTTCCCTTCTCCCTCCCCTTTGTTATGTGTGTCACTTCCGCATGCAACGGATATCTCTCAAAATGGCACACGCCATGCCGCCATACCGCCTCTGGCACCAAATCGCACCTGTGCCCCGCCTCATTTGGGTTGCACCTCTCTGCAGCGACTAATTGCAAATTTCTTTGGCAAATATCACAGCTCGTATTTGTTTGAGAAAACGTTTGGCAGAGGGCAGAGAGAGAAAAGTGCTGGGATTTAGTTTTTATTATGATTTTTAGTTTTATTAAATTGCAAGTTTTTAATTAAAAGTTTGGCAAGTTGAAGTAATTAAATTGGAAATGCCCAGCCAAGGCAGACCTTTTCAGGTTTCTAGTTTGCACTCAAAGAAAGTTTAAATAATAAGTTTACAAGTTTATTTATCATTAATTTCTTTATTTTCCTCCCAACTTAGGTTCATTAAAAGGTGTTAAAACTCTTCTTACTTTAATATTTGCTACTTCCTTTGTAAATATATAATATTTTCCATCATGCACAACCCTTCTTTCTCCATGTATCTTTCTACATATATAGATTCCAGCAATAACTCGCTTTGTAGTCATCTTTTTCCTCACTTCCAACTTATCCATGGAAGACAATAAAAACGGAATCAAATGGCCAAGAATGACATCAGACCAAAAGCCAGAGCATTTTCACACAAGCCATGGCCATCCGAGAACCCTATTCTTTGCTCTAATTGGTGGGGCAGTAAAATAAGATGCGGCACTAAAAGAGTGACACTGCTGGCTAAAGTTGAATGAGAACTGGGAATGGGAAATATTTCACTCAGAAGTAATTTATAACTCGGATGGCCTTGATTTGTTGGCTTCTGGGTTTTCGGGGTTAGAGGATGAGCTCATAGAAGGTCAAGGGTGAAAGGGTAACAAGTGTGGTGAAAAGGGATATAAGGAAAGCATGTAGATTACAGAAAAAAGGAAAGGATTTGGGAAGGATTGTGTTGAAATGATGCCTAAAAGACTATCAAGACTAACTATGCCTTGCAATTTAAACTAACAAATATTTACTTTTAAGCTGAATTTATAGCCAATCGCTAGACTTCCTTTGCCCTACCAACTTTTATAAGTTTCGGCCATATCGAATTTATAAGAAATTTATTCAGCCGCTTTAAATGGGCTAATAAAGAAAGCAAACAAATAGCTTCCAAAGTTAAACAATCTAGACGTGTTAATTTGGGATTGTTTTCAAGAGTACGATATTTAAAATCGTTTTGAGTGATCATAAAAATCTTGGCGGAAAGGTGTCAACTGAAATTCGGCTGATCATAAACCCATCAAGTAAATAAGACTGGGCTATGTATATGACAAGAATCTTAGCGGCGATAAGGTGTTTTTGCCAATTAAACCTGGAACCGAGCACCCATCGAGTGGCTCTTCAAGTGGCTAAAGTGACGCGGTGACTGGCTTGCGTTGTCGATAAGAATCGAAAGTTATCAACAAGAGTTACGTTTATTAAACAATTTGGTTGTCAGGGTGGTTCGAGTGGGCCGCGATAAGAATGGGCCATGAAAAATAAGACCAAATCTTGTCCATGACGCTCCGTTCCGTTCCGTTGACGATGATTAATTCGGTTTTTTCAAGTGCAGGTCGAGGAAAATAAGATTAGCTGGAAACGTGTACCCGAAAATAGACGTACCAGTCAAGAGAAATCAAAGAAATCGTGACGTCCAATCAGAAGTTAAGCCGATCTCAGCTGGTTTATGTGGTTCCTGGCCTTGTCAATGGAACCAACGTAAACCCGATTCTTGATTCATTCAAACTGAAGTTGGCTTATCGCGCTAATTGCCATTAATTATGGCTAAGACTGGAAAATAGATTTATTAACAATGAAATCCGAATCGAATCGGCCAGACTCGGTTTGAGTCAATTCGATTCGCCAGAATTCGCATTCAAATCTTAACAATCGGGCAAACAAAAAACAAAATAATTATTCGGGATGAGTTTTGGGTTTTTACGTCACTTGTTTTTTTAACAGGAAGATCACATCGAAGATGAAGAAAAATATTATTAAAAAATTCCCTTTCATATGAAACATCTCTCTCCCAGTATCGCTATATCTCATTCTGATTTCGCTGACATCGAAACCTGTACCTGAACCGTTTGCTTTGTACCGGTTATAACCGGTACGATTCACCTTGCATCGCAGTTGTTACCACACTTCCACTACCAACAAACAACTCAACAACAACAACAACAACAACAAGACTCGCACAGCACATAAACAACGAGTCACTGCAAAGTGAATTAAAATAATTTCTAGTTTTACAGGCACGAAAGACGTCTTAATATCATTGGCTTATTTTCTCAGTATTTTTTCGATATTTGTTTTGATTTTGTGCTTTGTCCAAAACAGTTTTGTTTGCTCGGTCACTGAATAAATTTGAATACCAAATTCAGAAATTCGGAGAAGCTAGAAGTGACGCTCGGCCTAGGCTTCTAAAGCAAAACAAACATACTTCAAAAACTTGTTGAGTTGAACTTTTCTTTTGGCTTTTTAATTGGGTTTTTAAGAGCCTTTGAGGCTGTTGATACAAACAAAATATCAATTGGATTTATACATTCTTGCAAGGGGTATTGTTTGGGTTTTGAGAAGTAACTCGTTTTAAGCATACCCATTAAGGTTAAGGGTATTAAGAAGTTTCATTGAAAAGTAAGATTGAGGTAGAAGAACGCATTTTCGATCATATATAGGCGGTGTATACCCTTGATCAGAATCAATAGCCAGTCAATAAGGCCATTTGCGTCCATCTGTCCCTAGGAATGATAAGACGTAGGGAACTATAAGAGCCGGAAAGTTGGCCTCTTCTAACAACATCTACAAGTGGCAGCGATACTAATGTTCTTATTTTTGTTTTTGAACAGAATTATATGTTGTTCATAGCTATTAATCAACAAATCTTGTTTAAATCAAAGAATTTATTAAGAAGTTATAAAGGAATTAGTATTATAGGGCCTTACATGGGCAGATGACCTAATGTCCTAGCCACGGTTATAACAACAGGTGGCGCCAACAAATTCTAAGCTGCTAGTATTTTTTGTATTTACTTAACAGAGTAGTTGGTATTCATTATTTTGGTATTTTAAACGGTAAATTCAACCAACTTTTAAGTTTTCAAACTGTTGATAAGTTTTTCCAAACTACTTGAAACCTAAAAAAACTTGAATAAAAATATATGTAAATTTCAATCAATAAACTGAGTATACATAATTATCTAATCTTTATTAGGTTTATTTCAGACTATATAATGAACATGATAAAATTCCAGTAAAGCAATTGGCTAAATTAGACAATAATTTGAATACGAATTGTTATCAATAAATATAAGCAGATAAGAAATACCTTCTAAATTTTATAGCAACAAAATCTTTTTTTTTCTAAAAAGCCACAATAATAACATAAAATCTAAATATGTATACAAAAGTAGCCCGACAGCCTTTCGAAAAAACATTCCGAGTGGAATTACTTCCTACCATTTGATCACAAAGAAATATTTTGTTTAGCTTGACACCAAGTGGCCCACATTCGTTTTTTTTTCAAGGGCTCCAGCTTAAGGTATTTCTGTTGTTGTTTATTTTCGTCATCGTGAAAAGCGAAAACAAAAGACAACAAATTATAGAGACATAATAAAAAAAAACCTGCATATATATCTAGACACGCGGGCAAGACAAAAATGTGTTTTGATAAAAAATTGTTTGTGGAAATTCATTAAGTGGGAATAGAAAAGAAAAATCTAAAAAATCTAAAAATTAAATAAAGAACACTTGTTGATTTGACTTAAAACAGTTTAAAAACACTTTTCAGTTATATAATATAATACAATAATAATCTACAAAATCAGTTCTAACCGGATTTGCCAATAGTCGTATATGAGCTATCGCCCGATCTTGTAACGGACCATTAAAATGCACTTTCGGCTAAGTAAACAGTCTTTTTCCATGCCTCTCTGATAACAGACCCAAGGCGATAAGGAAGCCCATTCAAAGGCGAAACTATCGATAAAGTTAAGTAGACAAAATTGGCGTTTAAAAACACATTTTGTAAAGTTCTCCCACAAGTGTCTCTCTATCTCTCTCGTACTTATTAATTCCCGACGTAGGCGGCGACGCTGGCAGAGCAGCTGGCAGAAACGCTCGGCAGAGGCAGAGGGTTAAGCGAGCGCAGCTGCTTCAGTTTAAAGATCGGCAAAGTTAGTTAGTCTGCAATCGCCGGGACTCGCAGTCGAGTCGTCGGGTCGCGTTTTCATACTAAAAAAAAAAAAAAGAAACATAAATATATATATATATATAGAAACCCTAGCGCGATTCCGAGATCTAAACAGATTAAAATCAAATAATAAAACGGAACCACACGTTCGCCTTTTATTGTGTCCCAATATTCGTCGGCTATCGCAAAATTCGCTTTTCGTTTGATAATCGCGAGGTGCGTGTGTGAAATTTTTGTACAAACAGGAAAAAAAAGCTCACGTTTTTTCGATCGCTATTTTCGGTGATAAGGTGATGGCCAAAAATAATGAGTACATAGAACTGTAAGTAGCCGCCCCAGTCAGTCAGTGATTCATCACTTACGATTGCTGAAAAGCGTCACAGGAAAACAGCCCAGAAGATATCAACTGTCCGAGGTTTGAGTCCCACTTTTCAGCTGGGCTTATCACTCGGACTTTGTTTCAACTCTGCAAACTGTTTTTGTCGGTGGGGTTTATCTTCCTAGTACAAGGGCAAGCCAAAGAGGGGGAGAAAAGTCGTCAAAGTGTACAATCTAAGCAGTCAATAGAGTGGTTCTTGGGAAACAATAAAGATAAAATATATTATTTTATAATTTCTATAAAGCCGTTTCTTAAATATTGTTCAAAATATACCTATAGTTAGTATCTGTGATCTCAGCTTACTCAAACTTAATAAAAAATTGCCTATCAAGTCCGAAAACCGAAACTGCGTTGATCCCAAACTTAAAGGCTCTAAGGATTATGCAACAAAAGTTTAAAGCTATTTATTTAAATATTAAAAAAAAATATTATTTAACTCACATAAACAAGAATACCAAAGGCAAGCCAAGCCATTTTAATAATTCTTTAAAAAAATAAGTACGAATGACTGAAATGTTAAGAAAATATCTTAAATATAAATATTAAAAAAAAACACTGCCTGTTTCTGCAAGACTTTAGCTATAAATATTTCTTGCCCTGTTCCCAGTACAACGACAATAAATTTATTAAAGAAATAAACAGAAAAAAACCTGCTAAATCAACCAGATAAGCCTTCAGGTCGACGGGAATTTCGGGCTCCAGAGCCAGAACGAGCCACCTCGTTTCTTTGCTTTAACGCCGAACAATTGCCAAATTAAACAAGGCCAAGTGCAAGTTGTCTAGCAATTCGTTGTCTTGTTGACACTTTATACAACATCGGGTTATTAACTTAATATCGGTGCCTAAATTAGTGTTTGTTGTTGTGACTCAGATGCTGATAAGACAATCTAGGTGCTTGAAGGTGAGGAAGGGAAGGTAGAAGAGAAATGCTATATTTAGTAAAGCCTGGCTAGACCCAGTTTAGACCGGCAATTGGCAGACAGCCTGGAGTGTCCGCCTGTCCAAATGTCATATATTGTATATACATTCAAGTGCCATATATGAAGATTATACATTTTGCTGGCTGATAAGACCAAGCACGGCGACAGCGAATCGAGATGATAGGCTATATAGAAATAAACCTTTATGTGATGCAAATTTTTCCATCATAATACTGTCTGATCTGAGGAATAACCAAAATTACCCAGTTTGTGTAAACAAGTCTTGGTTTTTTTTAGATAAAACATCATTTCTGATACTAAAACATTATTAAAAGAAGCTACTTTAGTAGTAGTAATTATTACCTACAACACTGTAATTTTCAAACATAAAAATAAATCTTATACTTTATACACAAAAAGGTTACCTAAGACTAATGTAAGACTAGAACATATATTAAAGTTTAAAATCAGTAAATCTTTAGCTAAATAACAAGATTTTAGCTTGCATATTTTAGTTTATAAACAACTTTATTAATTCCCTATAAATATTCTTCTTTAACGTTCTTGATTCTCACCTCAAAACCCATCTGATTACTAATGTAAGAAATAAATATTAGCCAGCTTATCCCAAAATAAATCGCAAATAAACTAAAGCCACACCCAAGATTACAAAGCAAACACAAATTAAAAAGCAATTCCCTTACAAAGCAAACTAAATCCAAAGGCAAACTGAGAATAACAATAACTATTAATGAATTCGTGTTGCCATGAATGTTGGTCAAATGGTCGTAAGTGCTTCCAAATTTATAAGGCAATTAAGAGATTGCATTTAATACAGCAAGGCAATGGAAGTGCAGCGGGAAATCTATTAAAAGTGAAACCAACTCACTGTTTAAGGTCCATAAAAGTTGAAAATTTCCATGAAATGGAAACCCATCAGTAGACTAAAACTAACCATTAACAGGGAAGTTTAGCTAACAGTCTCAGTCTCAGTCTGTGGATGATAATTTATTGATTTTAATAATGACTATGAAAGTCACGACAACCATGCGGCAATGAGTTTGTTAATGAAACTCGATCATTGGCATTTTGCCAGCCTTTCGGTTTGTTTACAAACATTTGGGAATCCAAACTGCTTTTAAGGTTAATAAACTTGAACAAGTTGGGAGGGAAACCAAATAAGAACGATTGTATTTAGAAAACTGGAGCAGAGAAATTTACTAAAATCAAATATAATCTATCAAGGAAGGAGTATAGAAATCTACGTATGTAATATTCCTCAGATTACTACAACTATTTATATCAAAAAGTAGAGTATACACTCTCCTCCTCTAATAACACCCAGTATATCCCCTAATTTATGTCGATTTTCTACATACCGATCAGTTAGCTGAGCAGTTTGTGTGGGTGTTGCTGTTTCTATAGCAAAAGCGCATTTTAATTAGACGATTCATAGCGCACTTGCTAATGCTGATCAGGTCCGAGTTAATATTTCTAGGCCTGCCACTGACGCTAAGGCTGATTTAGCTGAGGTAACCACAAAAGCGATAAGAAACTCAATTTAAAAATGTTATAAAAATAAAGCAAAGGGTTAAGTTGGCCCATTTTATAAGAGCAGAGATAGGCTGGGAGTTTCCTTGAACCTGAGCCAGGCTTAATCATCTCGAAAAATAAATGTTTATTAAATTTCGATTTTTTTTTTGTATTCATTTCAGACCTTGGACCATGAACTCCTCCAGCGGCGATGACGAGGCGCCGAAGGACCCGCGGACTGGCGGCGAGGATTTTACGCAACAATTTACAGAGAACGATTTCGAGGGTAAGTCGCGTTCTAATTATTAGTTTAAAGCACAAAAAATTAATCGCTAACTGAATACTGATAAGCAAAACCTGAATAGAAAAATATTGGGTCCACGCATGGCCCAAAATCAAAGACGACTTGTAAAACCAGCCAAGTGACAAGTCGATAGGCAAACAAGAAATTTGCGTCGTGTTAATTGCAGGTTGACAGCTTTTGAGGCCCAACTAAAAGCTAAAATGGCCGAGATGGTCTACGAATTCTTAATGGAAATCAGATTTCGAGTGGGAAAACTAGATTTAACTGGAAACTTTAAACTAAGTTAGGGGTCATATGAATTAGTTTAATAAAACAATTAGCCTCATCTTACATTGCTTCCGGTTTGTGGTCTTTCATTCTCATTGAATATATATTACATTTTCATGCCTAATAGAAATTTTATTAATATAAATATTTTCGATTATTTACTGCAAGAAGAAAAATGCATTAAACAACAAAAACTTGTTGTTGAGTTGCCATTTACAGAAACGCCCACAAATTTATAACTTTTAAGATCCAATCGCGTGACTTGGCGAAAAGTTGATAAATTTCAGCTGGAAGATTTGCCCTGTATAATTAATTTAAATTTATGAAAAACTACTGAAGCAAGTACAAGGCAGATGATATCACAATTAGTCAACTGACTGAGCGCAAGTCGAACAAAAGCTTTGAAAATTTGAAACTGGGAAAGAGCTCTGCAAGTCAGGGAAATAGTAATTAACATAAATTTATTTGTAGTTACTAAGATGTCAGCTAACTAAGCCGGGAATTGGATTGAAACGAGACAGAATCTAAGATGGGTTTTGATTTAGTTTTTAGTTTGTAGACAGTTTAACATTGCGTATACGTAATAGAGTGCAGGCTGGTATAGAAAAGAAATCCAAATTTGATGTCTGGCCAGAGTTATTCACGAAATCTTATCTGTTTAGTGAAAACATAATATTAAAGTGAACTTTGAGCTGCTGATTAAGACTTAGAATGTTGTCCTATGAGAATTACGTTTCGAAATAAAACAAATGAGAGTGTCTGTAAGGGCTGAGAGGCTTGAAAGCTTAGTGGAATCTTTCTTAAGGTTAATCAAGCTATAAAACATTAAATATTTTTGAATATTTATAAAAGATGTTTCTCTTAAGAAACATTTTAATTATCATGTTTTTATTACCAGATTAGAAAGAAACTAATAATATTTAATCATCTAATTTATAACCACATTTATAAATTTGTGTTTCTGGAATGAAAAAATTCTGTGAAATTCCTTTTAGAAAATCCTTCAAAATGAAACAAAAGGGAATTATATTCTCAATTAATATTAATCCAAACATTCAATTAAAAACCTTTAAAAATTATTAACAAAGCCATTGTCTTTATTAATAGCTCGTTTAATCAAAAAAAGGCAAAAATAAAACAAATTTTAGCAGGCAGCACGGCAAATGCCGCAATAAAGAAAGCAAATTGTAGCAAAAATAAAGCATTTTAAGCTAATAGAATTATGTAACTCAATTGCAATTAATAAACAACGTCGCACTCAATTTGGACTCTTACCCTGGATCCCAAACTACCCGCCCTCCCCAAACCGGTCTCCTTTTGACATTTTACCCGCATTTTTCCTGCAGGACATCGGGCTCACACCGTCTATGTGGGTGTCCATGTGCCAGGAGGACGGCGGCACTCGCAGCGCCGGCGCAAGCACCACCACAGTGGCCCCGGAGGGGGTGGCACGGGGGGCAGTGCCGGCGGTGGCTCCCTCGGCGGATCCGGAAGTGTGGGCGGCGGTGCGGGCAAGGACAACATCAGCGAGAAGCAACAGGAAGTGGAGCGACCAGGTGCGTCCAGGTGTCTCTCCTCGGGTTTCCTTTTTGCACATATAAGTAATTTTGATATTTGGAAGAGGCTAGAAGGAAATGCCAGTAAATTTGGCCAATCAGTTTCGGCCAGGCCGAGAAATGTGGCAAATTGCAGGGGATGGGAGGGGGAAATTACAGTCCTCTACTGGGATATCTCACTCATCAGGCGGATAATGAAAATGACAGATGATTGGCTTACAGTTTGCTGTCAACAAGAAGTTTTGATTGTAATGTGGGGGGCCAAGCAGGCTAATGGGTGACATTGAATTAGGAAAATGAAATTACCTTAAGACAGAAATATAGGCAATTTTCAAAAGGAGGAGAAGTTACTTTACTGCAAACTAACTAACATTATTTCGTTTTAATCTTAAGTTAGCAAACCAAATCATTAATTCATGCAGGCTTATCTCTAACATTAAACATCTGAAAACTAGTTTTCCCGCTTTTCATACAGTTTTACCCAACCTATCCCAACACCCACGACTAAGCTTCTTGGCATACATCTCCTGACCTAGCCATTTATTTTGTTGTTAAGCTGCATTAACTCATTATTCTTTGTTTAAATTTATGTTTTCATTATATATTAAATTTAATGTTGGGTTTAAACTTAATTTTTTATGTTTAATAACAATGTGAATTTGCCTCTCATTATCCCTTCCTCATTTTAGCTTTTAAAACTTACATATGAACATTTTTACCTGTTTTTTATCTACATTATAAACTCTATGAAAAAATGAGCATAGTTTAGTTTCATAAACAAGCATTTAGAAAGCATCCTTAGTCACATTCCATACATCATTTTAAGCAATCCCGAAATGAAACAGAAACAAATTGGGTTGGGACTAAACAGGACATATGGCTGGCAATGGTCAGTGGCCAATTCCCAGCACAGATCAGGGCCAAATTATTACGCCAATTAACTTTAGCACGCAGCCGGCAGAGCCCAAGGACACTCGTGATTGTTATGAACGGGGTGGCAATGGCAGGAAGATGTTGCAGCCAAGTCATAAATGTTGATTAAGCTAATGAGGGTCTGCACTGAAAGAAACTTTAAAAAGTATTTCTTTGAAGATTTAAGATTATTATTTAACCTTTTATGAATGCCTTTATATTTTCTTTACATTTTTATATTTATTTATTTAAGGTTTTAATCAACTTTTTTTAAGTTCCCCAAACATTTTTTTCCTCTGAAAAAAAACCACATTTTTCTCACACTGTATCCTTCGAATTATAGTGACTCCCCCAGCCCAGCGAGTTCAGTTCATACTCGGCGAAGATGTGGACGACGGCACACATGTATCCCATCCCCTGTTCTCCGAAATGGGGATGCTGGTTAAAGAGGGCGACGAGATCGAGTGGAAGGAGACGGCTAGATGGATCAAATTCGAGGAGGATGTGGAAGAGGGTGGCAATCGTTGGTCGAAGCCCCACGTGGCCACCCTCTCCCTGCACTCCCTGTTCGAGCTGCGTCGCCTGCTGGTCAATGGCAGCGTAATGCTGGACATGGAGGCCCACAATCTGGAGGTGATGGCCGATCTGGTCTGCGATCATATGGTCAGTGCTGGAACCTTGCCACCAGGAGTTAAGGACAAGGTCAAGGATGCCCTGCTGCGACGCCATCGCCATCAGCACGAGTATGCCAAAAAGACGCGACTGCCGATTATTCGATCACTGGCCGATATGCGTAATCATTCGTCATCGAAAAGTAAGTATGGGGTTGTCACGATCATTAGCCTAACTCTAAGCTCATCTCGTTCGTTTGGTGTGAGTCTCTGATCGATCCATCTGCGAGCCCAAAAGCCATCACTCAGATCAGCTCATTTAGGATATCACAATGTCTCAAGTGTCTAAAAACTCTCATCCGATCCGAACTAATACTAATAACTCAGACCTGGGCAAGAGCACTCCACTGCACTCACTGCATGGCTCAGCGGCTGGCCTGGATCCGACCGGAAATTACCAGACACCCCTCTATGTGTCGAGTAAGGATCAGCGTGGTTGTTATCTCGCTGTTCCCACAGGTATAGCCCTAGAACTAGCCAAATCCATTCCACTTACTACCTTAAGCGATCTCTGTAAAGCTGAAAGCCAAAGCCAAAGCCAAAGTATAACCTTTTCAGTTGCCTTGCACATACAAAAAGCACCCAAAGAAAACAAGTCAATCGGAAGTAAAAGCTAAAGTTTATATCAAGAAGATTGTGATCTCTTGACCTGGCAATGTCATTCCTTATAGATATCCGTAGTAAGGACTTTAAAAGAAAGTTACCAACTCCCAAGGAGCTATCCTGACTAAGAAGACCCCATAGAAATCGAAGAAGATTTCTCCCTCTCTTGCCGCCACCCAGAAGTCTTGATCATTCACTCATCACTAACTCACATCCATTAGCTTTTAAAATGCATTAGCTGCTTAAGAATCATAAAATAAACTTGAGTTATTCGTTTGCCCAATAAGCTGACACTTCAACATCTGGGGGCCATTGGGGTCACCACCTGGTTCCATGCCGGGGCATCGCCCCAACATCAGGCCCAGTCTGGGCAAGGACAAACAATGCCAAGTAATAGCCCATCAATGGTTTTCACTGTACTTTGCTGTACCTATCAAGAGCACGCTGTGTTTTTCGATGATTATCTTTTCTATTTTCTCTACTCCTCGAACTTATTAATCTAATCTATATCTATATATTCAACTATAACTTCCAAGAGCTCGTTAGTCCCTCTCTTTCTATGATGATATACCCAACTTGTTGTGTTGTCTATTTGAACGATTTAACTTTATATTTAATCAATATCGAATTATAAGGAACTTAAAGATCAACTATATACTACGTTTTATATCCATTTTCCCCTATTTCTCTCTTGAAATCTATTCACTACTCTACCGACTTTAAAGCCCCTTCTTTATATATGATTTTTTGTTTAACTTTTAAGCCAGTTTTAGCCCTGTTCTGTAACCAAGAAGTTTATTTGACTATCAACACCGTTTCTTTGCTAACTTTAATATTCACACACCCTTGGTAAGAACTGTCAACTTGCAATCCTTGAAAGTCCACAAAGAACAGGAAAAGTTCATAGGTCTGTTAAGAACTTATATTGGGAACTTTTTCAATGATAACAACTAACATTCGGGAGGAGTATAGACCAGCTGGAGCTACTTAGAGAACAACCCCCCTAACCCATTGATAACATAAAAAACAAAAAAAAAAACAAAAACATTTTCCAGTTGAAGAGCACTCGGGCAACATGTTGGGGGCCACAACGCCAATTTCCCTAACGGCCAGCGAACCGGGCCCACCCGGATCCAATGGAAATTCAAATCTAAGCACCGCTGCCGGTGGCATGGGGCGTTTTCTAACGGTGCCCAGTGGAAAGCCCAGCAACAAGACGCTCGGTAAAGAACTCAACTTGAAGAAATCTATAACCAAACCTAAAACCAACTCAAGAACTGACCGTTTTATCGTTATCGTTATCGTTTTCCGTTTGATTTTGCGTGTCTGTTAATTGTTGAAATGAAAATGAAAAATAAATTTCCTTTGGTAGAATGCAGTTTTGTAAATAGAATTGGTTGATCGAAGGATCTATGAGAAGAAATTTGGCGAAATTTGCATGAAGGTTATGAAAGAGCAGAATTGGAAAAACAGGAAGAAGAATCTACGTAGAAGAAAAACTGGAAGAAATCAAAAATAAACCACACACACATCTGCACGCTAATCACCATCTTTCAGAACTAACTATTTTCCGATATATACTATATATTTTGCATGCTTCATTATCTGTATCTGAACTCAATCTGAAATCTCTTCCAGCACACTTAGAAGAATCCGAATTTAATCCAATATCTTTCTTTGCACTTCTTTTTTTTCGTTTGTTTTTTATGTTGTACCGTTGTAACGTGTGTGTTGACCTACTTGTTGTTGTTGTTATTATTATTATTGTAATACCTATCAACGCACGTATCTTAAAAAATATAAAAAAAAAAAAAAATTTAACACAACACCAAAAACCTGCACCCCGTGACCCGAATGAAAACCCGCGACTAATGCAGAGAAAAAATCTAATTCTAAACATTCGCGGCCCGCACAAAACCTGCCGTCGATCACAGAGGACATGGTCAAGAGTCCCAGCAACCAGTCAATGGCCAGGCCAGGAAGTGGCACTGAGCTGAGCGAGCAGCAGCACAAGGGCAACACCCATTTCATGCGGAAAATACCCCCGAGGAGCCGAGGCCAGCAATATCCTTGTGGGCGAGGTGGACTTCCTGGAGCGCACCTTGTCCTGCTTCATCCGTCTGAGTCAGGCGGTCGTCCTGGGCGATCTCACTGAGGTGCCAGTGCCAACAAGGTAAGCTCAATTTTTTCCCACTAATTTTCCTGACTGCTAACCCACTTCCTATTCCATCCAGATTTGTCTTCATCCTGCTTGGACCGCCTGGCAGCCAGAGTAACTTCCACGAGATTGGCCGGGCAATGGCCACGCTGATGTCGGATGAGATCTTCCACGAGGTGGCCTACCGAGCCCGTAAGCGTGATCACCTGCTGTCTGGAGTGGATGAGTTCCTGGATGCAGTCACCGTTCTGCCGCCAGGCGAATGGGATCCCACCATTCGGATTGAACCACCCGCGGCAATTCCATCGCAAGAAGTTCGTAAGCGTCCTCCAGAGTTGCCCAAGGAGGAGGTGGACGAGGAAGAGGAGGAGGCGCGGCTAAGGGAGGAGAACGGACTGTCCAGGACAGGACGACTCTTCGGAGGTCTCATAAACGATGTGAAGAGGAAGGCTCCTTGGTACATTAGCGACTACAAGGACGCCCTGTCCATGCAGTGTGTGGCCTCTTGGATCTTCTTGTACTTCGCCTGCCTGTCGCCGATCATCACCTTTGGCGGTCTTTTGGCCGAGGCCACTGGCAAGCATATGGCTGCGATGGAGTCTCTGGTGTCCGGGTTCGTTTGTGGCATGGGCTATGGCTTCTTTTCGGGTCAGCCGCTGACAATTCTCGGGTCCACCGGTCCAGTTCTGGTCTTTGAGTCAATTATCTACGAGTTCTGCCTGAAAATGGGCTGGGATTATATGACGTTCCGTTTCTGGATCGGCATGTGGGTCGCCGGCATTTGTATCGTTCTGACCGCGATTGATGCCAGTGCCCTCGTCTGCTACATAACCCGGTTCACCGAGGAGAATTTCGCCACCCTGATCGCCTTTATCTTCATCTACAAGGCCATTGAGAATGTGGTGGTCATTGGAAAGAACTTCCCAGTCAATCAAGGGATATACGACTGTGTCTGTACCCCGCCGATCGGGAGCAATGCCAGTGTTGTCGAGTATGCCAAGTACAACTGGGATTATTGTGAGGTAGGGATATTGGATTACTCCTGTTAAACGATAACATTTCGATAACCAATTTCCGATTTCGTAGACCTACAATGGCACTTTGGTTGGTGGAGATTGCGGATCCCCGCCCACCGAGAACGTTTTCCTCATGTCGGTGGTCCTCTGTGCCGGCACCTTCCTCATCTCGACCGTGCTTAAGGATTTCAAGAACGCCCTTTTCTTCCCCTCGATCGTTCGCCAGTACATTAGCGACTTCTCAGTGCTGATCGCTATTTTCGCCATGAGTTTCTTTGACTACTCCCTGGGAGTTCCCACCCAGAAACTGGAGGTCCCCAACGAACTGAAACCCACGCTCAGCACTAGGGGTTGGCTCATTCCGCCCTTCTCTGAGAAGAATCCTTGGTGGTCGCCGATCATTGCTGTATTCCCCGCCCTACTCGGAACCATTCTGATCTTCATGGACCAGCAGATCACGGCCGTTATTGTGAATCGCAAAGGAGAACAAACTGAAGAAGGGCTGTGGCTACCATCTGGATCTGTTCATCCTTTCCATTCTGATTGCCATTTGCAGTATGATGGGTCTGCCTTGGTGAGTTTAAATCAAGGGTTTATCTTTAGATTATTTTTTTATTTATCGAAATATTCAAACTAAATCTCCAGGTTCGTGGCTGCCACCGTTTTGAGCATCAACCATGTCAACTCGCTGAAGCTGGAATCGGAGTGCTCGGCCCCTGGCGAGAAGCCACAGTTCCTGGGAGTGCGCGAGCAGCGGGTAACCCACATCCTGATCTTCCTTACCATCGGTGTCTCCGTGCTGCTAACCCCGCTGCTCGGTCACATCCCTATGCCGGTCCTGTTCGGCGTCTTCCTTTACATGGGTGTGGCCTCGCTCAAGGGTCTGCAGTTCTTCGATCGCATTCTCATCATGTTCATGCCGGCCAAGTACCAGCCGGACTATATGTTCCTGCGGCAGGTGAGCTATATACATACTTACATCATTTTAATCCCAAACTATGTATAAAATTTAATGATATTTGAAAATCATTTATATCGATATATATATTTAATGCATAAATCGTAATTCCAGTCTATGGAGTACTATCTAGATCAGGGTCACGTTTTTGTGTTGGTTTGCAGCTGTGCACTGAGAGAAAGAATCATTTTTTCTGCTAACCAATTCATCACTCATTTTAGTGATGCGAAAGAAACTCCAAAATGCAAACAGAAGTTATACAGAATGAATTGCAGTGCAAGTGTTCGAGGATGATCCAGGAAAAAACAAAAACAAATTGTGTTACAGTTAGCCGTGGAACAAGGCGGAAAGAGGAAAACGAAAAATTGTCAGTGGAATAGCAAGAAGTTCGAAGATTATCCAGAAAGAAACAAGAACAAATTGTAGGTGAAGGAATAAGGCGGAAAGAGGAAAACGAAAATTGTCAGTGGGAATAGCAAGGAGTTCGAGGATGATCCAGGAAGAAACAAAAACAAATTGTATTGGAATTGGTGACGAAATGAGGCGGAAAGAAAAGCACAAAAATTTTTTTGTGGAATAGCTCCGCGTGCACTCAAAGCTTATGGGCGAGCAAGCCCACATACAGAGATCATTTACAAAAGCAAATGAGAACTAAGAACATAGGCGTTGAGCACCCCTGATCTAGATAAAGAGATACATATATAACATTTTTTTTTAATTTCGTATAATCTTTCGACAACTTCATACGTCAATAGAGAATTTATTATTTAACATATTTCTAATCCTAAAAATGTTAATTATTTTTGAAAATCTTGTGGTAAGAGTTGGAAACCATCTTTTGCTCAAACGAGTCTTACCTTCTCTTCTGGGGCTGTCTTCTGTTTTTTATAGATCTCCATTAGATTTTCGAAAGAATACGGTGAAGGGGTAGTTGTAGTTTGATTATAATTAATCAAGCCAAGTTTTTTCAGGCTAATATATTTCTTCAGTATAGTTTCAAAATCGAACCGCTCTTCTATTGAATCTTCCGTTGTATCCGATTCGATGATATCAGTGGTAGTTTCGTCATATAACTCATCTATGGTAGTACTTTCATCAGAATTAACTTCTGTAGTATTTTCATTTTCTATTAATTCGGTTTTATTTCTACGAGATTCTGTTGTTTCCGATTCGATTATATCAGTGGTAGTTTCATAGAACTCTTCTATGGTGGTACTGTCATCAAAACTAGTTTCCGTAGTAGTTTCATTTTCCTTTAATTCGGGTTCAGTTTTACGTGATTCTTGTTCTGGTTCTGTATTGTTTTTATTATTCGCCAATTCTGACAGTTCTTTTAAGAGCTTTTCCCAATTAAAGCTTACTTCTTCTCCATCCAAATGCGCTTGGCTCTCTGTACTTGTGTCTTCTCCGTTAATTAGTTCCGTTGTAACTTCCTGCTTACTTCCGTTATCAATTTTATAATTTTTATCATATTGCTGTATCAGATACTGTAGAAACTCTTCCCAATTTAGATCGTTTTTAGACCCGTAAGCCGTATTAGCATTCAACATTTCTAGCATTCTTTTCCAATCACTAATTTCCTTCTCCGAGTCTGCAGAATTGATGCTATCCTGACCAATGTAAATTTTTTGAAGTATTTCCAGATCCTTTGCGATATCCCTCACTCGTTCTTCTGTCCTGGAATTCATATTTAGATTGTGTGGATTTTCAGTGATCTCCGGAATCGCAAGATGTCTAGATCCTTCTAAGCCACTGCGCTCAGCACGAGTGTATAATGGATTCATTTCCCTTTCCCTGATCCTTGCATTGTACATTTCGAAAAGTCCATCAAGTATGCTCCTAACACGGGATCCATAATCAAATGTTTCGGATTTTTCATTGAGTTCTGATGACTTTTTCAAGCATTCCAATTGTGCTAGTCGATTTTCCACGCTCTCAAATCTCCTGCTCAAAGCTCCGCCAAAAAAGTCCAGCTGGTTATCCGATTGTATTAGTCGATCTTCAAAGTAATTCAATTTCTCTTCCAAAACCTTTTTAAACGAATTTAGGCTTTTCTCCAGAATATTTGATATTTGCTCAATATCGCACGTAGCATACTAGAATGAAAATATTTAACTATCTTGCTCTGTACTGACCAAACTGATAACTCACACTTAAACTAGCCGCAGTGGTCGTTTGTAGGGCTATCCCAAATAGGAAAGTTAAAATGATTTTTTGCATTTTATCCGCGGCTAAGAACTGTCACCGAGGAAAGTTAACTTAAAACTGAAATGTATTTGCAATGGGCGAGCATTTTTTGCACAAAACTCTGCAGTTCAGCTGAGCTTTAGTCACTCGTTTTTATCAACACTACATCCGCCGGATGCACGATAGAGCCGCTGTACGCAACAACAAGAGAGCGATTCTTATAATTCAAGGCTTAATCTCAGGAAAATTCCGCATGTACAAGAATAAATATATTTCAGCAGAAGTTAGCAATTTACAAAATCCAAGCTAACTTAGGATTAGTCATATAAAAATAACCATATTAGGCTTCTGTTGAAATCTTTTTTTAAATCTTTTAATTAATTTGTATTCCAGGTTCCCATCAAACGAGTTCATCTGTTCACCGCTATTCAGCTGGCCTGTCTCATTATCCTCTGGCTGATTAAGTCCTTCTCACAGACCTCCATCCTGTTTCCGCTGATGCTGGTGGTGATGATCGGTATAAGGAAGGCCTTGGATCTGGTATTTACTCGCCGCGAGCTAAAGATTCTGGACGACATAATGCCGGAGATGACGAAGCGGGCAGCGGCCGATGATCTGCATAAACTGGACGCTGAGGTGGGCTTATTGGCGCGAATTTTCCCGTGGGGAAAAGGTAGTCGGGGCAGGGTGGTGACCAAGCCGCAGGGTCTCGACGGAGGCCTGGCTGGGTCTGGCGGTGCGGGCAGTGCCGTTGGCGCTGGGCTCATCAGCTGCACCACCTCAAATGCAAATGAGAAGGAGTTCGAAGCACAGAGTAGTCTGCTCAAAAAGTAGAAGAAAAAGACACCGAAAATCTTCCAAGCACAGACGCACACCCACTTAGCCAAGAACATGCTCACACCCACACCAAAACCTACACCAAAACCTACACCTACACCTACACCTACACCTACACCTACACCTACACCTACAGCAACAAATACACCTACATGGAAGGAAAAAGAATCCAAAAGACCAGTGCTGCCCATTTCATTTGCGTTTGCAGTGCTGCCCAGGCCGCCGCGCACAACCAGCGATTAGTTGGATGGTTTCGATACCGATAAACTAAATTATTTATAGATTTTTGATTAATTTGCATTTTGCCGGTCTTGATAAATCTTATTCAACTACCTATAGAACTGCATTATTCTCTGTTATATACGTTTTTATCATGTCTTTAACAGTATTTTGTAAATGTTTTCCCCCTACCCCATTTTAATTTAAAAAGTTTATGGCATGCAGCTGCTTTTGCATTTTGTTTTTATATATACGATCATTTTTTTTATAAATATGTTTCAACTTCTTTTTGATCTTAATGCTAAAAAGAACGCTTCTAAACCACCTGTAAATGCCAAACATTCAAGAAAAAAAAAAAAAATTATGTGGTTTTTCGTAGTGCAAAAATGTGTTATCTACCCGAAACTACTCTAAAAAAAACTACTCTACCCTATATATATATATATATACATACAAATATGATATTTATAAATGTAAATGAAATTGTAGCCTAAGTCATAATTAGTCAAACGTTTACACTGTACAACAAGTACCTAAATGTATTAAATGGAACCTGTTATGTTATTTTATAGTCATCGGGTCGAGAGTTCCAGTAACTAACCAGCGACATAAACCCACACGTAATTGTAGTGAAAATTAATGTAAAAATTTAATGGGCTAAATCCGAAATTGCAAACACAAAATTACACACTAAAAATAACATAAAAATTGAAAATAAAACATAAAATTTGGCATAAATCTAAAATTGAACACACACTTCACCGAATTGGCTTAGACACCAGATCACCTACTTAGACCCTTCAATTTAAGACCTCTTTCCACTTCTTCGCCTCTCACTTATGCAACATTAGACCAGATATGCTTTTCTTCTTCTTCTATTTCCACCCTTTGATACCTTCCCGAGAGATCCTTTTCTTTGGTCCCAAAAACTATGCAAAATGTGCAAATTTTATATTGAAGGACAACCATCATCAGCATCACCCGGGCTCTGGTTCCGGGGTCAACTATAATGCCGATAAGTCGGGTCCCACCACTATACACATTCCCCTGTCGGGGAACAAGCCCAACAGCAATGGACCCTCTGTGACCATTCCCCAGGATGCCGTCAATCGCACCACCGTCTGGCAGCAGATCAACAAGGAAGGCAATGGCATCTCGGAGCAGCTAATCATCCCGGTTACCCTGAAAGTCCGTCAGATCAATGGCAACCAGTAAGTGCTCCCATTAGGATCCACATTCAGCTATCAGTTCAGGCCACACTCTAATCCTCTCATGAACTGCTAGATCTTTTGCTAGGTCTTCTGTACATAAGCTAGTTATCTTTCCTCTTCTGCGCTTCATAAAAAAAGTTCCAGAAATCGCCCTTAAAATAAAAGTTTTAGAATTTAATTTTTATTTTGCAAGAAAAGTATTTTTGTCAGAAAGAAGATTAGGGTTAGTCTTTTATAAGAGTTCACATGGCTTGTTTAAAGTTACATTTTTTAATTATATACTGTAACTTATTATTATTTTTTCATACTAATTCATTTTAATATAAGAAGTCGAACTTTTTCCAAAACAAAATAATGGAAATTATGAATGTTTTCTTTAAGATTCAAAATGATTGTTTGAAAAAACATTAAGAAATATTTTGAAAGATCTTTTAAGAAATTTTTGCCTAAGTGGCAATGAAGATAATTATAAATTTGAAAGTTTTGAATATTTCAAATTTAGGTAATTGGAATTTGTTAGTCTTTTTAAAATCACAAAAAATTTTGACATTCTTGATAAGCAAATTTCTGGGAATTTGTTTGATTTTCCTGCTTTGGTCTTGCTTTCGCAATGCTTATCATACAGAACAAATGCTAGTAAAGAATAAGAAGAATAAGAAATAAGAAACTATAAACAAAATCTTGGCTAATTCAGGGCGACTTTTCTTTGAGTGTATCGACTATTAAATCATTCATGCTCGTCTTCGCATTCCCCATGTGCCTACCCCTCTCTACAGTGCTCCTTCAACTGGTGCCCTCTCGCCACGCCTATCGCCCATGCACGAGGCGGATGAATACAGTGAAGCCCCGGCCAACAGTCCGGGGCATCCAGCAGGGACTCAACAGCAGCAACAACAACAGCAACCACAGCAACCGATGAGCAACTGCAAGGAGGCAACTGCCAAGCTCGAGGGATCCGCCTTGGGCAACAGCCAGATCATTCCGGCCAACATAACACCCGTCTAGAGAGCTGAAGATCCCGAAAGCTACTTGGATTTAAATCGAACAAAGCACAAAGAACCCAAACACACACGCACATCTATGTATTACTAGTTGGCCATAATCATAATCTCTATTTACCATATATCGTAGTAGTTTTTTGGTAACAATTTTTAGCTGTGCCAGTAGAGAGGTAAATCTTTGATTTGGGGCTCAGGTACATGATATACAAGTATTAATTAAAACTAAAAGATAATCCGTAGGCAGTTAAGAACACTTTTGAAACGAATTTTATATAGAACCAGTCAATTCCAAGGATGTTAGAAAGCCAAAAACCAAAGCCATAGAACAGAAACTTAGGCCATCGGTGCTCCGATGTCTCTTCAATTTCCCAACTATATCTTCTCCACTTTGACTTGGTTAGCTAAAGCGAATTGTGTGTTATATATGGGGCTTATTTATCGAACTGTGATCTGATGGGTATATCTTGGGGGCGGGTTGTTGGTTTCAGAAATCGTATAATTTAGCCTAGCCAAGACAAAGCTGTAAACAATTGTATTATATTTTAACGCCTCAAAACTAAGTTTAACACAACATACACATCCTATTTGACACACCCGAAAACCCATTTATATATACAATATATAATATATAGACAAGTATAAATATAAATATTGAATAAAAGTGGCGAACCATTAACTAGCCACAAGCAAACTGCGACAACAGAAATGTATCTTTCCTTTCATTACTTTTGGTATGCATCATCGTTCGTTTTCAGTGTATTTTGTGCATAGTTGTGAGTCTTGAGTGTGGCACCTTCTGCTCCCAAAATCTATATCTCTGAACATTCATCCATTAGCACCTGATCGGGTTCTGCCTGTCTCTATCAAATCAAACTTTCATGAATATTACGAATCAGAGTTTGTAGAATATAAAACTAAAACGTTACTTCTTTTTTTATTTAATAATCTTCAAACTCTGTTTCCTAAAATCAAACCATCAAAGCTCCATTAGCATCGTGTTCGATGTCTGTATGTGCATCTTCTATATACTTCTATACATACCCTCTAATATTAAATGTGTACGTATATAGATTAGTCAGACTTAGGCTATATCTGGTACTATCATCACACTTAGATCACGGTTATTAATCCCAAATTTCATTATTGCAGAACCCAAAATTTAATACGTCGAAGCAATTGTGGCGTGGATATCTTACACCAACAGAAACATCCGTTTGAGTCAATGATTTAACTCCATTTTAGCGTGTAATCCGTGTACCTGTATAACAATTATCTGTGTCTATAATCTGTCTATATACTTATGATCCACGATGTACGAGTATGTTGAATGTAAAACCACCTTGACCTACCGTCCCTTTTGCGTATTTAATGCCCCAAAGTGCGATGGCACAAATTAATTGTCTGGCAACATATCAAGCGGCAACTCGAAAACCAATCTTATACACTACAGTCTAAAGGAATTTGTTGAAATAAATGTGTAAAATAAAGTTCATTTATTTTGAATGGGAAATTTGACAGTTTATATTGTTGCGATTATGGGAGGAGGAGATTACACATTTTAGTTTCATATTTTTGGGCAATGTTAGAAATACAACACATTTTGTATGGCACTTTTTTACATTTTCATTTTAATTACTTTTGAGATATGGAGATAATATTATTATCAAATTTAAAAAGAAAACAATATATTTAATATTTGAAAAAAACAAAAGTGTATAGGGAAATAGTGCATTCTCTTAGAAATGGCTTACTGATAGAAGTTTACCAGTTTTCCATCAAAATCTTTCGAAATTACAATGTTTTATTTTAACTTTTCAACATAAAATTTCAACAACTTTTAATTAAAATATTACAAAATAGTTCTTTCTTGGAGAGGGCTATAGCAATATATGAACCTAATTAAATTTTGTAATAATTAAATTTAAAGGACTTCTTAAAAATATAACGGTTTTTTTTTTAGCTCTCTGTTTAAAAGTATTTTAGAACATTACTGATATGTTTTTATATTTGTTTTTGTTTTGGCTTAGTATATTTTCCGGTACGGATGGTATATTTTAGCGGGCTCTCAACGGTCACACTGGTTTGGTTGTTGGGCTTTCACGAGCGCGTGTTTTTCGCTTAAATTCATAATTATTAATTAAAACCTGGCCAGGATGTCGCTAATAACCCGTTTGCTGAGTGGTAACAATGCCCTGCGCCAACGGGCACTGGAAACTTTGGGCAGAGTAAGTTAAAAACTCAAAAATACCTGAAAGATTATCGGCTAGTTATGTAATTGTTGTAAGAAATGCAATTTAATTGATAATACTATAACTTTTTCAGGCCGGCTACAGTTCGCATGCCAAGTTCTCGGAGCACAAGCCCATCGAGAAGATCCGGAACATAGGAATCTCGGCGCATATAGACAGTGGAAAGACGACATTGACGGAGAGAATTCTCTTCTACACCGGAAGGATTGCGGAAATGCACGAGGTTCGAGGAAAAGATAATGTGGGAGCTACCATGGACAGCATGGAACTGGAAAGACAGCGAGGAATTACCATCCAATCGGCAGCTACCTATACTCTGTGGAAGGACACCAACATCAATATTATCGACACCCCGGGGCATGTGGACTTCACCGTGGAGGTTGAGCGTGCCCTTCGAGTTCTGGACGGAGCCGTTCTGGTTTTATGCGCCGTGGGTGGAGTACAGAGTCAGACCTTGACTGTCAACCGGCAGATGAAGCGATATAATGTGCCTTGTCTGGCCTTTATCAATAAGCTGGATCGATTGGGTTCAAATCCCTACCGAGTACTTTCACAAATGAGGTCAAAAATGAACCACAATGCTGCCTTCATTCAGCTGCCCATTGGTGTCGAGAGCAATTGCAAAGGCATTATAGATTTAGTGCGCGAAAGAGCCATTTACTTCGAGGGAGAACATGGAATGGATCTCAGGCTAGACGAAATCCCTCAGGATATGCGAGTGGAAAGCCAGGAGAGAAGGCAGGAACTTATCGAACACTTGTCCAACGCAGACGAAAAATTTGGCGAACTTTTCCTAGAAGAAAAACCCTTCACAGAAGACGATATCAAGGCTGCCTTAAGGAGAACCTGCATCAATAGAACCTTCACACCTGTTTTAGTTGGAACAGCGTTGAAGAACAAGGGTATCCAGCCTTTGCTAGATGCTGTAATTGAGTACCTGCCCAATCCCGGGGAGGTGGAGAACCTAGGCTTCATAGAGAAAGAAGGACAAGATCCAGAAAAAATAGTCTTGAACCCCGCCCGAGATGGCAAGGATCCGTTTGTGGGCTTGGCCTTCAAACTGGAAGCTGGGCGTTTTGGTCAATTAACCTATCTCAGGTGCTACCAAGGTGTTCTCCGGAAAGGTGACAACATCTTCAATGCCCGTACCAATAAAAAAGTGAGAATCGCTCGCTTGGTTCGCCTGCACTCGAATCAAATGGAGGATGTCAACGAGGTCTATGCCGGCGATATTTTCGCTTTGTTCGGAGTTGACTGCGCCTCTGGAGACACTTTCACCACCAATCCCAAGAACAATCTGGCCATGGAATCTATCTTTGTACCCGAACCCGTTGTTTCGATGGCCATCAAGCCAAATAACACCAAGGATAGAGATAATTTCTCAAAGGCCATTGCCAGGTTTACGAAGGAGGATCCCACATTCCACTTCTTCTTCGACAACGATGTGAAGGAAACCCTTGTTTCGGGAATGGGTGAACTGCATTTGGAGATCTACGCCCAGAGAATGGAAAGGGAATATGGCTGCCCCGTGACGCTTGGGAAAGCCGAAAGTAGCATTTAGAGAAACTCTGGTTGGACCCTGTGAGTTCGATTATCTGCATAAGAAACAGTCGGGAGGATCGGGTCAATATGCCAGAATTATTGGAATCATGGAACCACTGCCACCCAATCAAAATACCCTGCTGGAGTTCGTAGACGAAACAGTGGGTACCAATGTACCAAAGCAATTTATTCCTGGAGTCGAAAAAGGTATGACAAAACTTTAACCAAAATGTAAAAATATTGAAAAATTTTTTTTTACGTTCAGGTTTCAGAGAAATGGCTGAGAAGGGAATGCTCTCCGGGCATAAGTTATCCGGCATTCGATTCCGCCTGCAAGATGGTGGTCATCACATTGTAGATTCCAGTGAGCTGGCCTTCATGCTGGCTTCCCATGGTGCCATCAAAGAAGTCTTCCAGAACGGGAACTGGCAAATCCTAGAGCCCATTATGCTTGTTGAGGTTACGGCACCCGAGGAATTCCAGGGCGCTGTAATGGGTCACCTGAGCAAACGTCATGGTATTATCACCGGAACTGAGGGAACCGAGGGTTGGTTCACTGTCTACGCGGAGGTTCCCCTAAACGACATGTTCGGCTATGCGGGAGAGCTGAGGTAGGTTTAATCTGCTGTTTAGAGCCGATGGAATGTATCTAAAATTATTTTTCTATTTATAGATCTAGTACCCAGGGCAAGGGTGAGTTCACCATGGAGTACTCCAGGTACTCGCCCTGTCTTCCAGATGTCCAAGAGCAGATTGTGCGCCAATACCAGGAGTCCCAGGGATTGGCTCAGCCCGACAAGAAGAAAAAAAAGAACTAAACTAGATTTTTTACATAGTTCTAACTATCATCTCTACTAAATCGAAATGTTATTGTGTCATCTATATTTTTGCTTAGTTAAATTTTATTTCATACAACAATTTTCAGTTTTCACTGTGATAAACGAGACGTGTACAGTTTTTATGTATAATAAAAGAAGACGAGAAAAAAAAGTTAAATTAATACGACATATAATTTTCAACTTATTCCCTGAAATGTTTTCATAAAAGATTTTTGCACATAAAGAATAAAAATTAATGTTTTTAAAATTGGCCTTTTCATTTCAAGTATGGTGAAACGAAAAATTCAAATATCGATTGTATATCGATGTTTAAAAATGTTTCCCATTGTTCGTAATCTACAATTTGAATTTTTAATGGCATTCCTTGCATCAGACTAATGGAAAATTTACAGAAGTGTTTTTTTTCAATCCTAAAGGATGTGTTAAAAAACATATGTATATAATATCATAATCATAATCTTCGCCGAACATAACTGAGAAAACCAAGAATGCAGTGTGAACACTACCATCATCATGCAATATTTACCGGTCTGTTAAGGCTATAACACAGTAATCGATTGTTTGAGAAATCGATAGTCTCAACTAGTCAATCAATTTTGTCCCATGTCTAGGACAGTCGGTTTTGGTTTTTGTTGTTGCGTTTTGTTTTTGCTTGCGTGCGGTTGATCCGCGGATAGTTTTCCCAGAAAACTCGCAGAAAAAATGCCAACTGAGGCGAGATAAAAGGAAAACTGCCCACCGCCAAGTGCCGAAAGTGTTAACGAAGCGATAGAAAGGCCTAGGAAAAAACGACAAGCGACAACAATTAGCAAGCGAATAAATATCGTTGAATACCCCGAACCAATAATAATAACAACAACAACATCTGCTGCTGCTGCAACCACAACAAAAATTTAACTCAATTAAAAGAAAAGGCAACATGGGAAAATGCAATTGAAATGCAAAGAACATTTATGAAGTGCTCTGATGTGTTTGCGTGGAAATGGAGCGATTTGTGATTGCACCGTTTTGCTTCTTGTCTAGTGTTTTCCGCTGCCAGAAAAGTGTGCGCAGGAAAATCGCTGACAATTTGTGAGAAAGGGGAAGAGAAAATTCGGAGAAAATTCAATACAAGAAAACAAAAAAAAAAAAAAAAACGTACAAAAACGCGGAAAACAAAAACACAAGAAAAATAAAAGAGAGCGAGAGAGTGAAAGAAAATAAATATCGTTTGTGTGGGTGTGCGTTAGTGTGTGCGTGTGCAAAAGGAGAAGATCAAAGCGAAACGACAGAAAAACCAAAACAACACACTCAGCTGACTTCCTCTCTTACCTTCCTGCATACACTGTCCAAAAAAAAAAAAAAGCGTTAAATGCGAAAATCAGCAACTGCAATAGCAACGACTACTTCCAATCGCCGGCTTTTAAACTAGTCAACAAAATCTTCAAATTCAAATCAATTCAAAAAATACACACATATCCAAAAATCGAAAGAATAGCCATAATTACTACAACTGTAATCAAGAAAGTTATATACTAAACTTAGTAATCGAGTAACCGGATATATTAACATAAATAAATCACAATGGATTGGATCATCAACGATGAGATGGGCCTCACGGTGGGTCATGTGGTGGGTTGGGCCGCCGCCTCTGCCATGGTGATCGGCGGCGTTATCCCCTACGTTCCGCAGTACATCGAGATCAAGAAGACGCAGGACGCGGAGGGTTTCTCCCTATACGTATGCCTAGCCCTGCTGGTCGCAAATTCGCTGAGAATACTTTTCTGGTAAGTGGATGGAAAATTATTTATAATATTGCTGTATTTACATTTTCCTAGGATTAGAATTTAGTAATCCAATTTCTAAAATACAGAAAAACTAGTAAAATACCTGATCCTAACTTTTAAACTCAAAAATCAAGAGGAATTTATTTGTAAATTTTTAATTTAAAGACATCAAATGTCTAAATTCATTTCTAATGATTTCCAACTGATGATGATTTGCATTTCGGGCCAAAATAATACAGTTTATGAGCTATAAATCAATCATGAAAGAAAAGACGCGTTCTTAGTGTAAATGCTTATTTCCCTTTGACTGTACAGCATCCAAAAATCGAATGAAAATAAACACCTGCGAGGTTTTCTAGAATTTCGTATATTGGGAAACATTTTTCAAAGCCTCTGTCAAATCTATTTTACCCTAGAATTGTTGAAAAATCCAATACCTGATGTGCTAGTGAAGTTTTAAGTTTGAAAATATATATGCAGCTAAGATTTATATTAAAATCTGTAAAATTCCGAATGCTGTTCTACCGTTTGATAACCACAAACTCTCTAAGTAAACGCCCTCCCATTGTTATCTTGTCTATGATAGGGTGACTAATCCAGCCAAATACCTAGTATCTCGGCTTATCTAGGGGTAATTCAAAGTGCTTATCGTCCGGAATTCGCTCGCGGTCCGTCGCGACGTTTACGGTCTCCACCTCTTGAGACCCCCTATCTGTGTATAGCTTTGTCATGATTTCTGGCCGATTTTGCAGACCATAGAATTCCGAAAATTTGTCCAAGGACTATCGAACTGGTTTTATCTTTATTACGCTGCGATATGGTTTTTGGCACAATGTCATCGATAATCGCTATTTTCGCTGGGGTTTTATGACAATTATTGGTAGATTTATCAGCTTTCATGCTGATTGTTGGGAATGATTTCGAACAACTTGATGTTGAGTGAGAGGATTGATAAGAGCATTACCCTTAAGACTAATTTCATAACATAAATGTGTACTTTTTTTTCATCATAACAAGTGATATACATGTATCAGAACTCTGAATTGATCTCCCGCTTCAGCAAGGGATTCGTCTACCTCCCACAATAAGATTCATCGCTTTGGGACAGGGAGAGGTATAAATCAAAATGAATTTTTAATTCAATTTGAATGAGTGTGCAAAATAGCTTTCAAAATGTGACAAAGCAATTTAAACCAGAGAAAACTGACTTGTGACAATCAAAACCAAAAAAATTGTAATTGAATTAACTAAAAGTTATTGTTTTTTTGGGAATAAACTTTGATATTTTTTCAACAGAATTCAGTTTCTTATATTGTGGCTAGGCAATATCAGGGTCAACTACTTTTGCCCAGCTGGTTTCTGTGTATGATTTCAGCTTGTTTGTGTTTGCCCCGTTTAAAGCCGTTTTTTTGAAGAGCCCGAGCTTCCTATAAATAAATTATTAACAAGGCGAGTGGAGCAACTGGTGGCCCTCATCGACGCCGTCGAATTGTCTGGCCTGGGTGGCAATCAATAAATTAATTATTTAGCTAAAAAACTGTTGCCGGCGAGCAAAGCGAATCAGCTGTGCAGCGAACGAGGCTTGCTTTGCCCGGAATAATCCCAATAAAATATACTTTGTATATAGATGTTCTTGGTGGGTGTAGGTGTTCTGGCCTGACACGCGATGAGTTTTCAATGGGTTTTATGAATAAAAAACCAACTTGGAGGTTGAGTAATGCATTGGGAAACCTTTTTTTTTTCTTTCCTGAGACTAGAACAATGATAGGAAGTAGTTTTTAATTTTTGCCTGACTTTTGGCAGTGCATTCGGTAATTAGTGTTTTTCCTTTCGCTTTTCCCCCGAGACATATAATTGTTATTATTCTGACTAATCGGTGCGATATGGATGTACCGCCACATCACATTCCACATATAGTTAAATGCAGCTGGCAATTTGTGAAAATGCACGAAACTCTTAAACTATTTTACGTTCTTTTCGTGCTTTCGCAATGAATTGCCGGCAATTACAATTATTTATTTAATGTGCCAGAAATATAAATTACTGATAAGTATATGTGGGATTCCTCCCAGGGGAAAACTTTCCACAACACATATAGTGATTGGAACAAAGAAAATGATATATCTGAAGTCATTGTTGGAAATAATAATCGACTTTGTGGCAGCCTTTGTGGTTGATTGTAAAATAAACATATTTAACAAAGAATTAATCGTATGATTAACGCTCAGAAGGAGATATGAATAAAAGTGAACTGAAAGTTCTACCCATCGGGTAAATACAGAAATCCAAAACTTAGGTTTTTTGTATGAGATCATGTCTTGAAATTATAGCTTATTAATCAGTTTTTTTTGATACGAATAGGGTTTACTCTTGAGATAAGAAGGTTGGAATTTTCCCAAGGACCTACGAAAGGTTAATATAGGAAGTAAACGACTTTAAGATTGATATGTTGATATCGTAACTATGTTTTGTTTAATCAATGCCAAACTATAAACACACAGGTATATAAACATTCAATTTGATAAATTTAAATATTATATATTAAAAGTTTCTCAAGCACAAAAGCGATCTGATATTGATTCATTCGACTTTCGGTATAGTTTAGACCAAATGTAGGCGTCATATCTAGTTTCTAACCAATGAATCAGACTTACTATTAGCTTGAAAGCACTGCTTATATATAGTAGAATGTCTATACATATATAAACCGATATATTAACCCAACAAGAGTTGATTTAATTGGCAGAGTCAACAAAGCGGAGTCAAATTTCGCAAAAAGGTTTCCTCGCATAAAAAAAACGCTAAAGTTATGACTCAATAAGTTGGTCAGGTCAGTGGGGCGTGACTATACAAGTCTGAATTATAATTTACACTTTCATTACGGGCATATAACAATAGATGTATATATATACAGTATATATAACTGTAGCTCAGCTAAGGCTCAAGCACAGTCATTTCTATATTTGCAATTTTCATGCCAACATTTGCTCAAATATTTACACAATTTGTCAGCTCGCTTGGAGTACACGACGTGTTCGCCCTTAACAAATTAACAAAAATTAAGGCAACGCTCGAGACTGTAATTAAAATGCTATATAGTTTAGCTGTAAATTTGAATATTCACTTAAAGAATTTAGTTTTCAAATTTGTTAAAATGTTGCAAAACTTGCGGCAGGACAAATGGCTTTACAAATTGTTGCCAACAATTTGTATTATAAAACTCGATCTAAGGGGGGAAAGTGAAGGGTTAAGAGTGGGAACTTTTGGGGGTTCGTTGAACTTATTCCAGCAATTATATGAGAATCAAGTTTCGGGTTAAAATACTTCAAAAGTTCAGCAATTAAGAAGGAAACGTAATAACCTGCAAAGTTGCTGACTAATTGAGTTCTTAAGTTTTCGCGTTACTCAGATATTATGAAGGAAAATTATTGTTAAAATTTAAAAGTTAAAGCAAAATTTTCATTATATTTTATAGTTTAAAAACATTTACAGAAGTATATTGTTCAGCGAATCAGACAAGACTTCCCCTATTGATAAGCCATTTGATCATAGATTCTTTATAGGGCCTGCTGACACTTTCCCAACAATCTAGTTACTAGAAGAGTACACCATGCCCAGTAAATGTTTATGGTGTTTGTGTTACTTGAAGCTCTTTAAAGAAAGAGCCCACTCTTATCAGCGTTGTACAAAGATAAGGCGGGTCCCGCCATCAGGCGATGATTGTGTCTACTTCAACCAATTAATTTATTTACGTAAACACTTATCAAAGAGTCTTAGTCGCTCCCTAATACGTAACCTAATGCCATGCCTTAGAGATAAGGCCATAAAATAGATACGATTGTGTTTATCTACAATTATTTGCTAATTTATAATTTGCTTATCAATAAAATGGTTAAAAAACAAAGGCAACGAAATGAAGACATTCTAAAATCTAATCAAACACTTTTAATTATTTATTAAGCAGGCCCAACTTTCATTCACATTTATTTATACCAGCTTTGGCCCACTTTCCATGTTTATTTATTATTAATAAGAGTACATACGATGCCCACTGAATGGGAGGAAAAATTAAAAAAAAATTTTCCAAAGGCGAAAAACTTGGCGTTTTCACGCCGAAGGTCAAGGTTTGTGGGTGGAAAGTTTGGGGTTTTGTGGTGGAAGGACAATACAAATTAACTTTTGGTAGGTTTTCCTTTTCGGAGGGTGGTAGGATTTTCTACATATTTGCTGACCAACAAACCTCGCTTATGGCCCATAAATGTTTACGGTTTTTGGTCTGTCGTCGTTGCCGCTTGTTTTCGCATCGCATGCAAATTAGTTTTTTGTTTTGTGTTTTTGAATTTGTGAACCGGTTACGGTTGATAATGATGTTGCCCGAGCTGGGCTCTCGTTTTTATCAACAATATAATACGTATTTTATATCTTTTATTTTTTATAAAAACGACAAAGCACTTGTCACTTCGGTTGGCAACTTGATCGTATTTATAGCAACCGCTAAAGATTTATAATTTCGATGGGGAAGTCGTCTCGGCACGAGTTCGCCTGTCAACTTTTAAGAGCACTTGAAATTCAAGTTGAATTTCGTGTAAACTTGTTGGGGAGCAACAAAGCTTACGCAATCTTTTGCTGAAAGGGGTTTTTAGCTTCAAACTAAATATGGTTTTTAGGGAAATACTAAACTTTGCAACCTACTGGAACGGCTAGTTCAGAAAAACAACGAAATCATCGATACTTTGGAGAGATTGATGATTTACTAGCTTATCTTAGTATATTTTTATAGTGCTTGAAGAAATACTAGGCTTTACAAGCGTCTAGTTCAGAAAAACAATCGATGTTTTCGATAAAACAATCAAAATATTCGATACTTTTGAAAGGCTCATTAATGTGTTATCAGCTTATCATTAATATTTTTTATAATAATAATAAAAAAAAAGGTTAAAAACCACTGAAAACACCCTAGAGAATAACTTATATTCCCTCTTTAGTACAGTTTATATTAA